AACAGTTATGTAGCCACTCAATTCCAGCAACCTGACTCTGGACAGTATACAAAAATTGCTAACCAAATAGAAAAGCGGAATAGTGCACACAACTAAAGCAAAAAAATAAAAAATAAAGATATAATATGTGTATGCTATGTTGGATAGATGCTTCCAGATAAATAATTTGCTTTTTGGGGAATGTATAGGGAAACAGAATATATGCTTCTAAAATGCATTAAATGCCAGCCAGATGACTTGTAAGCTTGGTGGTCCAGGTGCTGTCCTATTTCTCTTTTCTTAATAAATCTTTATCTGGATTTGAATGGAAAAGACTTCTTTCAAAGGACTCTATAAATCAGTCTCCAGAATCATGGGCTTTCCCGATGTGTGGGTTTGTATAAGCTTTATAAATATAGCACCACTGAGTAGGATTTTAGGTGCTGTTTATCCTAATGGTGAAAGTGTCTCATCTCTGAATTAGCTGAGTGCGTTGTGTTCCTTCCTGGTGCCCTTTCCATGTCCTGCAAATGAAAATCAATTATAAAATTTCATTGCCAGCATGAAATTGTGTACAGATATACACAAGAAAATAAAATGAATCACTTAATTGTACAGCTGCAAAAGAAAAAAACAAAGTGTAATTCAACCAAATGACATTTAATTGGAAGGAGAAAAATCCTTTTTTGTCCAACTGAGCAATGAATTTGGTGGGCAGGTAGCCCGGACTGGTAGGAGACTTGCTAGGATTTCCACAATTCTAATAAACCTCAGGCAGACAGCAACAGACCTCTCACTGCATTAATTTAATTGCATATTCTTCTCTACATGACCCAATAATCAGATATTGCTGTCATGACTCATTAAACCAACTAGTGTCCAACATCTAGCTAAGATTTATTAAACTGCTTTTATCCTAGACTCCTAGCTGAAATGTGATTTCTGTGTAAAATGAATCCTATTAACATCAACCCACATATGCAAAGACAAAAATTCTACCACTTATTTAACCACATGGATGGTATAGGATTGGACTTATCAGAGGAGTGCATTTATTGATTGGAACTCTTAGATTGTATTTGATAAAGTTTTGTTAAATAATAACAAAGAAATGGATGAAGTCAGGGCACAAAGTAAAATATTTCATTAATGTGTTTATTTTGTTTTATACTACCCACCCCGAGTACCTCTTTGAGGGAGATGCGTGTTCAGAAATGTGATAGATGATAGATAGATAGATAGATAGATAGATAGATAGATAGAGGGATGGAGGGAGAGAGAGAGAGAGAGAACGAGAAAGAGAGAATGAGAACAGACAGACAGATGTCATGGAAGCTTTGAAAGTCATACACAAAATATACATCTACACATTCTCCTAACTTCAGTTTGGAGATATCTGGTTAACCATTGTTGGATACCTCGTTTGATGTAGCCATTTTTCTCAGCTTCAGGGCCAGCTGACATTGGAATATTTTGATCCAATGTCTTCACAAGTCTCAATATATGCGCAATTTGTGCTGCTTTTATAACTGCTCATCATTTCTGGTTGTTTTTGGCTGCTGCATACATATCTCTCCAATCACTGCCACTTTGTTTCCATGGTTATTTTGATTTGACATGTTAGACTACCTTAATACCGGGTGAGGGCAGCTGAATCAGTGTTGCTAGAGAACATGATAGATCAGGTCCTCTTGGCATTCTTAGAAAATGAAAATGAACTATCATTTTTTTCCAATTGTATATAGAGGTCAGTAGTGGGATTCAAATTTTTTTACTACTGGTTCTGTGGACGTGGCTTGGTGGGTGCGGCAGGGGAAGAATACTGCAAAATCCCCATTCCCTCCCCACTCCTGGAGAAGGTTACCGCAAAATCCCATTCTCATTCTCTTCCCACCCCACTAACCTGCTTTCCAGCTCCGTTCTCCTATGCAGGGCGACAAAAGAAGACCCAGCCGATCAGCTGGGACTCAGGAGACAGAGAATAGATGTGGGCAGGGCCAGTCAGAGGTGGTATTTGCTGGTTCTCCGAACTACTTAAAATATCCACTACCGGTTCTCCAGAACTGGTGAGAACCTGCTGAATATCACCTCTGATAGAGGTGCTGGTCTGCTGCTGTAGCATTAGCAACACTGAGATTTCTGGAGAAAGGAGTAGATCAGGATTTCTGAAAAGCTAGCTGTAAAAGTTCTGATGGATGGCTGAATCTCTGTTCAAGCCATCACTGAAGCTTGCTTTTTCTCATAGCCGCAGCCCATGTAAGAAGCAGTTTTTTTTTCCTGTCAGTTGGTTTACCCCAGGTACTGCATCTTTATTTCTTCCACAATATTTGTTAGCCTATAAATTATCTTGTTAGTAATCAGCTGTATAGATGGAACAAATGTAAGCTAGCATAATTTGCAGTCTGCCTTGCAGACTGTAAACAGTGCATCTTTCTCCAAAGACTAAGCATAATCTAATATCAGCAATACCTGATGTGGGTACATTGTTCCAATAATCTCATAATTCTGATTTTTTTTTTGGTGTGGAATGATATTGTAAATTGTCCATTGATGACAAATCACCAAATTAACAAAAGAACAAAATAACAGAGTTGGAAGTGACCTTGGATGTTTTCTAGTCCAACTGCCTGCTGAAGCAGGAAATCCTAAACCATTTCAAACAAATGGTTGTCCAGTCTCTTCTTAAAAGCTCCAGTGGTGGAGCATCCATAATTTCTGGAGGCAAGTTATTCCACTGATTAATTGTTCAGAAAATTTCTCCTTAGTTCTAGGTTGGTTCTCTTCTTGATTAGTTTACATCAATTGCTTCTTGGCCTACCTTCAGGTGCTCTGGAAAATACTGTATGTTGACCCTCTCTTCTTAGTGGCAGCCCCTTAGATATTGGAACACTGTTATCATGTCACCTCTAGTCCTTCTTTTCATTGAATTATTGAATTCCTGCAACATTCTTTATATGTTTTAGCCTCCAGTCCCTTAATCATCTTTGTTACTTTTTCTAGAGTGTGAACATCTTCTTTATATTGTGGACAAAACTGGATGTAATATTCCAAGTATGGTCTTACCAAGGCATTATGAAGTGGTATTAACACTTCACAAGATCTTGATTCTATCCCTCCATGAATATAGCTTGTGTTGGATTTTTTGTCAGCTGGCTCATATTTAAGTGATTGTCCACTAGGACTCCAAGATCCCTCTAGCAGTAGTACTATTATATTATTCTGCATCTATATTAGTATTCTATCAATCCATCAGGGAAATAAAGGCTGTGAGGAATAACAACCAAGGACCAGGAATGTTTATTATTGCTATAATGTGCAATTGTCAGTTGGAATAGATTTGCCTACCATGATATGTGCAGTCTGCAAATCAGACAGCACTAGTTCAGTGGGGAAGGATTGCATTGTATATTCTTATCCTCAAGACATGGTCAGAAAGCTTGAGCAAGTTGATCATTTGGGTCAGCCCACCCTCTCCTCCCTCTTATCCTATAGAGCAAATAAGTAACAGATGCGCACAAATGCTATAAATTTCATGTTATTAAGAGATACCTTGCTTTACATGAATATATGTTTGGTGGCCCACTACTTTAAGTCCAGAAAAGCATTATCTCCTGACTTCTCCCAATTTTTTAAAATCATGAAACCCCTAGTATTCTGCATAAGAGGTGATCACAAGAGTAATAATACAAATTAATGTAATAAATAAAAACACAAAAACCAACTCTAGGGTATCTCCAAAGGAGGCTGCAGTAAGTTGAGAGTTTTTTTGCAGTGTCTAAACAATAAATAGAAGGATATCATGAATTAAACTTTAATTTCAAAGCAATAAAGTTAATTGATTAAAAAGTTTAATATCAGTCTTAGGGTTCTCCACACAGTATTGCCCTTGACTGAGTCAATTTAATGAATAGAAAACAATGGTGGTACAAGTCTTGTTTACATAGTGTCCAATGAAAAGAATCTATGTATATTCTACTATCTTTCCCTACAATATTAAGTTCTTACTGAACTCCAGTCTCTTACATTTCCAAAAAAAGTCCTGCCATCCACCCCCTAACATTAGTACTGTGAATGTCAACTATTTTAGATAACGTATCAGTGTACCATTTGATCATCTCATTCTCTCATGTTGGAGATCATGGATGCACATTGTTTTTGAGTCCTGTCAAGTTGTGATCCTAGAAATGGGCATGGCCAGATTGAAAAGTGGATGAAGAAAGGTAGGCCGAATTCATTAATTTTATTGTACAATTGTTCAGACACCATGCAGCCTGTCATTTTTTCAGAACTATATTTAGTAACTGATGGTCTGAGTTTTTATAAGCTCCTGCTTGAGTTATCAGTGATAGAATGTAGCCACCTTGCCTTCTTTCAACCTCTCCAATCAAATTTGTTTATTTATTCAGTTTACATGGCTGCCTATCTCAGAATCTCGACACTGGGCAGCTAACAGCAGTGGAAAACACCATAAAACAACAACAACAACAACAACAACAACAACAGATCACCAATAGCTGAGATAAAAACAAGAAATGACCACAATAAATCAACATTACCATTGCACAGGCTTCGCCAAACATCTGTATCCTTAAGCTCAGGGACAAAACTCTACCTTTAAGGCATTGTGAAAAGCCAGCAAGATCAGATCCGGTATAATTATTGGAGTGATGATATCCCAAAAGGTGGCCCCATGACAGAGAAGGCTTTCTTTCCTGAGTCTACCAGTTGGTACTGCCCACTACTATATATATATTTTAAAATAGCAATTTTAAAACACTAACATTGTAGAAAAACCTAGAACATACATCTCCTACCAAACCTAATGGGACAGGAAAGGCATAGCTAAGGAGAAATAGTCACTCAAATAAGATAATAAATAAAAGAATGTTATTGTTAATAATACTTTTGATTAATATGCTAATAATATACAACTTTTATTGGATTATTCATTTGTATTTTATTAAATATAAATATTGTAAGAAAAAATAATAATTTAAGTATCATTCAAATGATCTCCCCTTTCACTTAAATTCACACATTACTTACGTTCAATTACTCACATATGCGTATTAACTTCACTGTTAACTTTCAGTTTTTGTGTTCAGTGTCTGCTTGTTTGCTTTGAAAAACATAGGCCTTTCTGCATCAATTAAGTTTTGAAACACTATTTTGATATCCCTGTATTTGTAAACCATTCAATAACTGCAGTTCTCTTCGGGGTGGGTGGATAGGGGTGAACAAAACTTCTAAAAATATACTATTTAAAATAAAAGTAAATTTTAAAAGGTAATGGTACCAGCATTATATATATTTTTAGTATAATACTATAAATATAGCTTGTTCTTAATATATTGTTATGAATTTACCTTGTTTGCTGTGGCTTTTACATAATGTAGAGTGAATGCCAGAAGCATCTGCAGTCTTCCTTGAATTGTTCAAAAGAGGCTTAATGGCTGGGTGACTGGCTGAATGTTAATAGAGTTTCTGGCTATTGATGCTGTAGCTTGCATCAGGCAGGAAGTGCCACAGAGAAGTGTTAGATCAAGACATTGCTAAGACTTAGAAGTTCTGATCTGAGTAAGAGTACTTGGTTAACTCAACCACATCAGCCTCTGACATTGTGATGGTTCCATTATTCAGACAATACTAAAGCTTTGGTTGATACTTTTGAATTTTACAGTTTTATTTTGTATAAATGTTCCCATGCCAACTTCAAACAAGAAAATAATAGTCATGTCAAAATATTTATATTTTCTAAGCATGTTCATTTAGTGCGTTCTTCTCTAAACTGGGGTACATGATTTTGAGAGCAACTCAGAGGGCATTAAATCAGGAAAGATGTTGCTGGCTGGGAATGATGGGAATTGCTGTGTAACATATTATGAAAGTGTCATGCTTGCTTTTATCTGATTTCGAAACTCAAAATAAAGCTCTCACTTTTCCTCTTTGAGACAGACTGTTGATTGTTGCTGGGCTGAAAGAGTGAAGATAAGGCTTTGGTAGATTTGTGAGCTAAGAAACCTGGGATATGAGTCTCTTTCCATATGCAGATAAACAATTTTCTGAGCCTCATCAAAACAACACTGAGTTGGTTCTTGAATCTTCAAGGTAATACCTTCTCTCACTGGACTGTCAATATTAATCTGAAAAACAAACAAACAAACAAATAAACAAACAAGCAAAGTAGTTTTCATTTTACTTTTTAAAAAATAGTCAGAAGCCAAGAGACTAGACCGAGTAAGATGCTGAAGAATGTACAAAAAAATGGCATCAAGAAAGATGGCATCAAGAAATCTAGACAATGTCACAAAATTTATTTATCTGGGTATAGCTATCCAACTTGCAAATAACCTGGGTAATTTGTGTATGGTTAAAAGTATAAAAACAGAGAAACCAATAGAACAAAACACACAAAATACCACAATGCAGAATAACTGAAGCCAAATAAAATGTATTCCGATAAAAAAAAATCTTATCAGGATGCCTTAGAATTCAGGCTTACTGCTTTACCAAAGACCAACAAAATATTAGAGGCAGTGTGATCTAGAGGTTATGATTCTGGCTAAAGTGACATAAATAGGTGTCATAGAAGATCACTGCATGACTTAAAGCCAGTTACACACAGTCCAAATTCCCTCACAAGTTTGTCATTGGAAGAATAAATTCTTGCCATGGATACTATAGTATTTGATGCACCATTAATTCATATTTATTTATAAAGGTGGCCTTCTAGAGATATATCTCTTACTAGCAGCCTACTTGTGTGGACTTATATTGAGATTTAATGAGGTATTCCTCATCAGTAAAGAAATAAAATTCTTATTCATCATAAAATCTATTGGTAAGTTCCAAAGTTGCTTTTTTATTTTATTTATTTTATTTTATTTTATTTTATTTGGTTTGTCAATTGCTTACAAGATAATAGGTATAAGTAAAAACATAATTATGAATACATGGATACATGGATACATATAAGAAAAATAAAAGAAACAATAGGACGGGGACGGTAGGCACGTTGGTGCGCTTATGCACACCCCCTACAGATCTCTTAGGAAAGGGGTGAGGTCAATAGTAGACAGTGTAAAGTAAAAGTTTTTGGGGTTTGGAGAAGAAATCACAGAGTCAGGTAGAGTATTCCAGACATTGACCACTCTGTTGCTGAAGTCATATTTCCTGCAATCAAGTTTGGTGCGATTAACCTTGAGTTTATATCTATTGTTTGCTCTTGTATTGTTATCGTTGAAGCTGAAGTATTCATTGACAGGTAGGACATTGCCATGTATTTTTGTCTCTCTAGACAAAGGTAAGGTTTCAAACTGTAATATAAGTTGTCCACTTGGATAAATTATTTAAAATGTTCAACATCTGCGAGAGCATTCATACAGTTCTTCCCAAAATGAGAAAATGTATTGTATTCCTGCCCAGTTTATTAGTTTACCTCTTTTGGAGCCTGAGGTTGGATAAATTCCTTAAAAAGTTTCTGTGCCTCTGATATTCTTTTTCTCTGTGATAAAATCTTCTTATACTTTTCACAAGCCAACCAGAATTCCATGTTCTCATCACTATATTCAGTCTTCAGGTAGGACTTGTAGACAATTGGCCCATCTGAAAATAACATGTCAAACATTGATTTGCAAACTATACTAAAAGTAATTATTATAATAGTTATGTTTTATTCTTTGTATAAGATATAGTATGAAGAATCATTTTCTGAGACTCTAAGATTATAACAGGAAGTGAAAATTACCTCAGCAGATAACTAGCTATTTCGTTTCCCCTTCCATTTACAATAATATATAGTTAAGGGAATATACAGGGGGATTTTTTTCCCCCATTTTTCTTAGTATTCTCATTCTCAAGGATCTGGCAAGTGATATCTATAGATATATCTATATGTTTATCTATTTGTCTACCTGCCTTAGGCTTCTTATATTAAGCGTAATATAGCTCTATCTCTATCATCTCTATCTCAATCTCCATCTCTAAATGTCTCTGTCTCTATCTCTAATTATCTGGGTAACTGGTGTATTGTTATTACAAAATAAAATCTTTATTTATTTATTTGTATCCCATCTTTATTATATTTACAATAACTCAAGATGGCAAACATATCCAACATACCTTCCTCTTCCTATTTTCCCTACAACAACACTGTGAGGTGAGTTGAACTGAGAAAGTGTGTCCCAAGATCACAATGCTGCTTTTCATGGTTATAGAATAGTGGTTCCCAAAGTGGGTGGTACCACCCCCTGGGGGGGGGGGGGGGGGGGTGCCTTAGGTGAGTGCTAAGAGGCAAGGGGGGTGGCAGGGAGACGCTAAGAGGCAGCAGGGGGGTGTTTGAGGCACCAGCCCTGTAGGTTCACTCATTGACTGTAGCACCACTCTGGAGCCGGTGCCTCCAATGCAGAAGCGGTGGCATGTTATGTGCTGCCATGGCCGCATTTGATGCGCCCCCCTGCTGCCTCTTAGCGCCCCTCTTAGCGCCCCTCTAAGGGGCCCCCTTGGGGATGCTAAGAGGTGGCAAGGACGTGTTCGAGTCACTGACCCTGCAGGTTCACCCATTGACTGTAGTAATGCTCCGGATCCGGTGCCTCCAATGCAGAAGCGGTGGCATGTTATGTGATGTCATGGCCACATTTGACGCACCGCCCCCCTGTCACCTCTTAGTGTCCCCAAGGGGGCCAGCAGAGGGGCGTTCGAGGCACCTGCAGGTTCACCCATTGAGGCTCCGGCTCCAGAGCGGTGCTACAGTCAAGGGGTGAACCTGCAGGACCGGCGCCTCGAATGTCCCCCTGCCACCTCTTAGCATCCCCAAGGGCCCAGCAGAGGGGCACTAAAAGGCGGCAAGGGGGCGGAGCATTAAACACAGCCACAGTGGCACGTAACATGCCACCACTTCCACATTGGAGGCGCTGGCTCCGGAGCGGTGCTAGTCAATGGGTGAACCTGCAGGGCTGGCCGGCTCCTCGAAGCTCCCCTGCCTCCTCTTAGCGCCCCTCTGCCGGCCCCCTTGAGGATGCTAAGAGGCAGCAGGGGGGCATTTGAAGCTCCGGCCCTACAGGCTCACCCTATTGACTGTTGTACTGCACAGGAACCGGCGCCTTGAATGCGGCAGCACGTTGGAAAAAGTGACCACCACCGCTTTCCCAAAGTGCCACCGCTGTCGCATTCTGTCTGTCCGTCCATCCATCCATCCATCCATCCATCCAAAAGGTTTGTCTGTTTGCCTGCCTACCTTCCTGCCTATCTGTCTTTCTGTCTACCTACCTATCTACCTACCTATCTACCAATATAGATCTATCTATCTATCTACCTATCCATCCATCCAAAAGGTCTGTCAGTCTTCCTGCCTGCCTGCCTGCCTACTTATCTACCAATATAGATCTATCTATCTATCTATCTATCTATCTATCTATCTATCTATCTATCTATCTAT